TCCTCAAGGCAGAGAACAGTTCTTCGCTTGGCAATGGTGGAACAAGCTCTTTGCTGAACTTTGGAGAAACCCGGGTTCCTTTTTTATATTCTTTGCTTTGTTCCCTTTTCACTAGATCTTCCTTATAATGCACAGTTACATAAATAAAAATGGCTCATCTGATAGTTGAGTCAGGAGATGGGGAGTAAATTGACAAGTTCACACAAAAATAACCCCACAGTTCTCCGCACTTTGTTGAAAAAGGGCTTTTGTAGTAGTTAGAAAGAACAGGCAGGAGGAATTGTATCTACGTGTGTAGGTGGTAGAACTATTTTTGGATTGAGGTGAGAGGCTAGAAGCCTGTCAAAAATTGAGAGTAGGAGCAGATTAGATGGGAGATGCCCCAGGAGATGTATCTTGAATCAGGCAAATTGAACCATTTTGTAAAAAAATAAAATTTTAAGCCATACTTGAAGCTAGAGTAAAATAAAAATATTTTCCGATTATTTGTTTGCTTAATTAAGTGCAACTATTTCTCTGGTTTGATAATGGTTTCTCTAATGCATTTCACTACCTAGGTTATAATATAAACTAAAGAAGGGAATGAAAAACGAAGTGGAAAGGAGAATGAGCTTGGTGGACACGTGGAGCATCTGCCTGCTCGCGGCGAGAGGCTTTTGGAGTTTGCCTTTTCAGCCGCTTCCTAAGGAAGGAATCCACACAGCTCCTAATAAGATTAGTCTGTTTGGTAGAGAGTTAAGCGATGAGTCARCAACCTGGACTTAATAACGATGCCAATTTAGGCAGCACACTCGTATTGGTTACCTAACATCAGTTCTGGCATTGTGAATAACAGGATGGCAGCGCATCGTAGGAGGGCACTGCAGTGAGTCAGAGTGTCACGCTCCTCAGGACTGCGGTGGCCGAAAGCACGGCCAGGGCAGCCGAGCTCATGGAGGCCGGGATTAGAGAGCTCCTACGCAAGAACAACTGCAAAAAATAAAACGGGGTGATGCCCTTCTGGTGTAATGGGCTCTGTTAAACCCCACCTGGCTGCCACCCTGTGCCCTGTGCTCCGGGTGTCCCTGCTGGAGCAGGGGGTTGGACTGGATGATCCTTAGAGCTCCCTTCCAACCTCAGTCATTCTGTAATTCGGTGACTCAGGCTAATGTTTCTAATTTTGAAGCTATAGTGGATAAGTGTCCTTGCCATGCACTGTTCAAATGCCAATAATTCAATTTGCCAAGGCTGCATTTTCACAACAGTGAAATTTGTTTCCCATAGCTTCGTGTTTATGAAAGATTGCAAGCACTGGCTCAACGTTTTCCCCTTGATTAGTGCCATTTGTAATGTCACTTTCTCACGTGGCTTCTCCTGCACCCCCTAGGGCTGCCCGTTCTCCCAGACCCTGCGGGAGCTCAGTTATCTTTGAGGACAACCCACTTTGGGCAAGCACAGCTGGAATTGGGCAACMGTTTTGAGAGATGTGAAGTGACAGGGCAGAGAGACTCAGATGAAGCACTGAAACTCGGTGTGGAACCAGCCTGCAAACACAGAGGTACAGTACGGTCAGTGTGCGGGTGACAGAAATATACACATTATATAAATATATGTGAGTTATAGAAATATAGGCGAGTTATAGAGCATCTCTGTGTGACTCGGGCAGGTCAGTGAGTGCGATGGGGGGGCCCRGGTGTGCTGTTCCTCACTGATGGACGGGACACACGCATGGAAAGCGACGGGGCTCAGCCGCCAACTCAGCGCTGCAGCTTGTTGCTCCGTGTCTTTCCATGAACTTACAGACAGGAGGAGGGCGTGAATGGAAAACAAAACCGCTTCCAAGTTCACGCTGCCTTTTAATGATAGAAACGAACCTCCCTACGGGAGACGATGCCCCGGGAACGCGAGCCTGCCGGGCGAGGCGGCAGCGCGAAGGCGCCGCGGCCGCCCCGGCGGCCGGCCTCGCTCCAGCAGCACTGGCGCTGCGAGGGGCGGGGCGGGGCAGGAAAGCCCGGTCCGGTCCGGTCCGGTTCGATCCGGTCCGGGGCGGGGCGGGGC